GGAATAGCGTCTGGGTACATTTTCTGTGGGCATGTAATTTTTCCCATCCCCAGACCTCAATATGGTTGAATTCTTCATGCTGCTCTGATCCCTCTACTCCCTGCTCTGACTGCAGCACAAATCATTGCATAGATTGGTGTTTGAGTCACAAGCGCTGTCGAAGCAGCAAGAGTAATTACTCCTGAGGGCATTCTGCACCAAAAAATTAAAAATTCCGCGCTAAAAAAATAAAAATTCTGCACAATATTTTAAAATTCTGCAAATCTTATTTGTCAAATAAACGTGGCATCTCCAGCATGGCACTGGGGAACACAAGCCACTAGCTGAACAAGGTGGGAGATCACTATGCCACTTTCCCCCAGGACACAGACTCAGCAGCGAGCCTGCACCCAACCCTAACACAGCACAAAGACTGGGTCTGCACCAGAAACACCCCAGGACCCTGTCCCTCTGTGACAGGTGCACCAGGTGTGAGCAGGCAAGCTCAGCAAGGCAGGATCCAAGTGTGGAGGATCTTAGTATGGGGGGAGCTAGGTGTGGGTTGAGAGGGTTCTGTGTGGGGCAATCTGGGTGTGGTTGGCTCAGTGGGGGATCTGGGTGCGGGGCCGGGGCGGGGGGGGAAATCTGGATGCATAAGCTTGTTGGGGGGTTCTGGGTGCAACGGTAATGGGACTCTGCAGAGGGGGTCAAGGTGAAGATAGTTGGAGCTCAGCAGGAGGGGAGTCGGGGGGGGGAAGAGCTTGGCAGGATGGCGTGGGGGGGGGCTCAGTGGTGATGTCCAGATGCTGGAGGAATGGGGCTCAGTGGGGTGGGGATCTAGGTGCAGCTGGTTGGGACTTGGTATGGTGGGGATCTGGGTGTGGGTGGCTCATTGGGGTGGTCCAGGTGCAGGGGAAGAGGGGCTTGTTGGAGGGGTTCTGGGTGCGTGGGGGGGAGTGACGCTTGGTGGGAGGGTCTGGGTATGAGGGGGTCTGGATGCAACAGGGTTTGGAGGATTGGGGAGCAGCTCCCAGTACAGTGATCCCTCCCCCTGCAACTGAGGTGCGATGGGTACAGGAAGCACGGGGGTTAGGAGGAGAGAGTTTGCAGAGCTTCCTACAGCCAAGGGAGAAATCTGGGGGTGGGTCTGAAACAACCCTGGATGCTGTTCAAGGGAAGAGGAAATCCCATCCTCCCCAGCCCAGCCAGAACCAGCATCTGAGCCCAGCGCAGAGTAGGAGCCACCAGCTGGGTCTTCCCCAGTCCCAACCCACAGTGATTTACCTCTCTGCCGGTTGCCCTGGACACCTGAAACATAATGCGTGGGAGGGTCGCATGATTGTTAGTGGCTTCCTTTTGCTTCCCCATCAGAAAGTCACTTTTTCTGCGGGGAAGCTAAGAAATCTGCGGGGGACATAAATTCTGTGCATGTGCTGTGGTGCAGAATTCCCCTCGGAGTAAGTAATGCTAGAAAAACAGAAAGCAAGGAGGGAAGAGTAGAAGAAGAATTCACTATTTAGTGCAGACCTCATGGGCCATAAAAGTTATCTGCATTTGAAGGGAAAATTACCAAGAAGAGAAAAAATTAGCATGTTGGAGTGGGAAGGGAGATGAAAGGATAGAAGAAAAAGGGGAAATAGAGACAGAACAGAAGAAAAATCATTCCTCCCAGGAACAGAGGGGCTTGTTAGTCACAGAAAAGATGCTGTGCCTCAGCAATAACAAAACAATGCTCACTTACCTAGCAGCTGTCTTCCAGAGGTCTCAACGATCTTTGCACATCACCGCTATTCTACAGAGAGGAAGCCTGAGGCACTCAGCAGAGGAGAACTGTCACACGCATAGTTAAAGGTTTGAATCAAACTCAAGTAAAATATGCACTCGTCTGCCAAACTGAGCATGAAGTTTAAAAGGAAGGGGAAGCAAGTCAAGCTGACAAATCCCTGCAAATGAAGAGGCCCCCTTCAAAATACTCCATGTCTGAACAACACCCTCCCCCCGCGAAAATATTAGCCTGACACGAGAACCCTGGAGCGACACAAACCCACCACTGGGATACGGAAAACACTAGGAAGTCACAGGAAGGCTGAATTCAGCCTATTAGCTGCCCCTCACCAAATCCCGTCTCAAGAGAGCTGGGGCTCTGTACACCCCGCATGCCACATACACACCGCACCCTGCATCCCACCGGGGGGCCGCACCGCACCCTGCAGTTCGCCGGTGGCACCTCCTCTTACGCCCCGCCCCAGCACCCCGTGCCCCAGCTCCCGCCCGTAGCGCCGCTGGCGGGGAGCGGGGGGACGCCCCGAGCCCGCGGCCGCCCCTACCTGAGGCTGGCGCGCGCGGAGCAGGGGAGGCGGGTCCGGCCGCGGCAGGCGGGGCTCGCCTTTCCCGCGCGCGCCGCAGCTCCCCAACAGCGACCGCGCATGCGTCCGAGGTAGGCCGGGTCGAAGGAAAGAGACACGCCCACCGCGGACCCGTTCCCGGGGGACATTACGGGGCAACAGCGCCACCTGCTGGGCAGCGCCGCTGAGTTCCGCCTCGCGCCTGCCCCGCGCCCCGCTGAGCTCAGACCCTCGGCCCAAGCTCCGATGCAGAGCTACAAGTGGGGGCTGTATTACGTGTGTGTGCGTAGAGGTGGGTGGGAGCCGGGTGGGCGTGTATAAGGAAGGGAGGGAGCAGAGTGTGTGCATGTTTAGGGGAGGAAGGGAAGGAGCAGGGTGTGTGCGTGCATAAAGGAGGGAGGGGGCGGCCGGGCAGGGTGTCTGTGTAGGGAGGATGGGGGGAGCAGGGTGTATGTGTAGGGGTGGTGTCGATGTAGGAGGGGGTGGAGGGAGCAGGGTGTATGCATTTAGGGGCAGAGCGTCTGTGTGTTGCTTTACATAATGATGGAGATTCAAGTATCTTTTCCTCTGTTCATTCAGTCGTGGCAAAGTGAAACTTTCTCGAGTTCAATCGTTCCACTAGAGTGGGTCAGATAAGAAAAGGCCCTTCCCCATGCCTGCTCCAGCTGTCTGCTCCGTTCTTTCAGTCTCCTGTAAATTACTCCAGGTAGGTGGGCGGAGCCGTGGGGTTAGTGCAGCTATAGGGATCCTACCCTCTATAGAGCAGCAGGGGTCTTTTTTGTTAGAGACAATTGCTTAAAGCACATTTTCCTATATAGGTATTAAAGGGGTGGGGGGTGCTAGAGAATACAGAAATGGTAACAGAATTAAGATGGTTGCACTACTCTTATGATTATTTAAATTAATTGTACCTAACTCAACATGGACTTCTCATCCCTAGATCACAAAGCACTTTATAAAGCTGAGTATTGTCCCCATTTTACAGGGAGGCAGAGGGGTTACAGCACCAGATCTCAACTTTGTTTTTGGAATTTACACAGTTTCTTATAGCTGCCAAATTGTGATAAGCTCCCTTAGTGACACAATCTAATTTGCATTCTTGCAAGTTTACATAGGACCATAAACTTCATCTGATGGCCAACACACTTGGCCCAGAGCAGTAGCAGGATGTCAGGTGACATGAAATTGCACAAAACTTGGTAATTAGCCCCAGGCTAGAGTACATGAGTGGAAGAGAGTGCCTGGGGTGTGTAAATGGTGGGTGCTAGGCTGTCAGGGTGGGTGACTGCTAAAAGCTGTGGGGAGAGGGGTGCTGGAGTGAGTCAAATTGCTAACAGGTGTTTTGGGGGGGGCAGCAGCTGGCTGTTTAGGAAGGAAGTTGTGGGAAGTAGGGGTACAATCCTGTGGCTTAGAACTGGCTGAGGGAATGGTTAGAGACAGCCTGGCACCTGTTCCTCACTTCTTCCCCTGGGTCTGCTGTTGGTGCTATCTGCATTTGTAGTGCAACAGGGAATATGGTGTGAGGAGAGAGAGAGGCTGGGTGCAGACCCCTCAGCAACGTCTACCGTACTCAGTTAACGGTTACAGCCCTTTCTGTAGCCCAGAGGTGGGCAAACTTTTTGCCCTGAGGGCCACATTGGGGTTGTGAAACTGTATGGAGGGCCACATAGGGAAGGCTGTGCCTCCCCAAACAGCCTGGCCCCTACCCCCTCCCACTTCCTGCCCCTGACTGGCCCCCTCAGAACCCTGACCCATCCAACCCCCGCCCCCTGCTCCTTGGTCCCTGACTCCAACCCTTATCTAACCCCCCCCCCCGCTCCCTGTCCTGACCCCTATCCACACCCCTGCCCCAACAGGCCCCCTGGAACCCCCACACCTACTCAACCCCCCATCCCCTGATGACCACCCCAGAACCTCTGCCCCATCCAACCACCCCCTGACTGCTCCCCAGGACCCCCTGCCCCCCCTTACCATGCCATTCAGAGCAACAGGAGCTGGCCAGAGCCAGCCATGGCACTGCACTAGCCAGTAGGAGTGGCAGGCCAGAGCACTGGGGGCACAGTGAGCTGAGGCTGTGGGGGAGAGGGGGGACAGCTGGGAGCTCAAGGGCCAGGCAGGACAGGCCATAGTTTGCCCACCTCTGCTATAGCCCATCTGAATCCATGATATAGTTCAGTATTCACAACCCCAAAAGTTCAAAAATAACTGTTCAAACCTTAAACTTGTGAGTTTTTTACAAAACCCCATGATTATGTGCTAAAGATTAAATGGTGTTTTGGTCTGTCTTCTGCATTCCTTCTGCCCACCCCCGAATGTGTGTATCAATTACAAAATGGCCAACCCTTGCAAATTTAGGTCTTGCTATACTTAACCAGGCTCATGCCAAACACGTGTTATAGGGGAACAATTTTTAACTCTTGTGGAGCTGGGCACAATTCAAACTAGTGACTTAGTGCTGAAATGCTCTGTAGCAGTGGTTCTCAACCAGGGGTAGGAGTACCTGTAGAGGTAGGCAGAGGTCTTCCTAGGGGTACATCAACTCATCTAGATATTTGCCTAGTTTTATAACAGGCTACATAAAAAGCACTAGCAGCGTTAGTACAAACTAAAATTTCATAAAACATGTTTATACTGCTCTATATTCTATACACTGAAATGCAAGTACAGTATTTATAGTCCACTTATAATACAGTAAAAATGAGAGTAAGCAATTTTTCAGTAATAGTGTGCTTGTATTTGTCTGATTTTGTAAGGAAGTAGTTTAAGACAGGTGAAACTTGGGAGTACATAAGACAAATCAGACTCCTCAAAAGGGTACAGTAGTCTGGAAAGGTTGAGTGGCAGTACTTGAGCTCTAGAGCAGTAATGCCCTGAGACACTCAATCTCCAAAAGTGCCAATGTTACCTTTCCAGAAAGCAATCCTCATTCTGAAAGGGGTAAGTTCTGGCCTTTTTGGAGCTTACACAGCAAGAATCTACTCTTTGATTACACAGGGAGTCTTCTGTGCATTACTCTGAACCAAACATCAATAAAAACACAGCAGTAAAGTATATAGTACAACATCCAAATTCACTTCTAAATACAATTTTGCAATATAAAAGCATTTCAACAAGTGCTTAAGGGCTCTTAAACTGAGTTTTATATATAATGTATTTTTTCCACTCCATCTGGGTCATCTGCAAGGTTAGAACCCCACCACCTTCCAGTCCACAGCACAGACCTCTTCCATGTCAGCAGTAGGTATAGCTCGTGTGTTCATGCAAGGATTATGGAGGTGAGTGAAGCATGCTGATATTATTTACATGGACTAGCCCTTACAGGGAGGGGATGGCACATTGCCAGTGGGTTACACAAGCTTTTGTGGAACAGCAGTGGAATGCTGGACATCCGGAATCTTGGTTTCCATTGCTGGCTTTGGAAGCAGTGTGTGGTCTAGTGGTTAGATTGGATAACCAAATGTACCTGTGACAGATTTGTCCAGGGTATTGCAGGAAACTGCCCAACCTTCTTGAAGTAAGTTTATGTATCGTAGGCTAGGGATTGTATGCAATTCCATGTGGGGAGGGAGACCCAAGTCTTCCAGGAACTAAGATGAGTGGAGGGGTGGGGTTAGGCAAATTCACTCCAGTTGTAACACTTCCAGAGAGCTAGCACTGACTGGAGAGTCTTGCATATACTTGTTCAAACTGAACTCTCCAGGGACCAAAAAGAAGGACTTTTGTTTGAATATAGTTAACTAATGGAGGGCTTTCCTTCTGATCCAGCAAACGGATAGAACCTTCTATCCAAGCGAAGGGCCCCAATCCTCAGGAAAGCGTTGAAAGGACTGACAGACTAGAAGCCTTGTGGAAGATGGGGTGTGATCTCTAGTAAGTTTAGTGTATGTTTTTGTTTCTGTAATTTTCACCTTAAGAATAAGTGTGCTTGCTTAGACAGAGCTGTGTGGTAACTTAATTGTGGTACTTACTCTGTTTACAGTCTGACTGCTGGGGAATTCACAGTATAATGTGCAGTGTGGAAATAACCTGATTAGGAGGGAGACAGGTGTGACAGCTGAGGAGCTGGAAGCTTAGAATTGGTGTCCTTGCTGGACCAGAGAGCAGGAGCAGAGATGCAATTACTCTGAACTGTGACAGTACCAACACCCTTTGTTTAAGAAATCTGGCATTGAACCTGGGACTTCAGAACATGAAAACACTAGCCTCCAGAACTTGAGTTAAAGAATCAGGTCTCTTAGCATGGAAGTAGAGTCAAACATCTATATGTGATCTAACCGCTAAAGAGAGTGACAGAACTACACTGTTAGTATGGATTACAGAAGCAAGCAAATTGACATTCTTCTAAAAGGCTGCATGGTAAAGTGGATGCCAGATTTCTCGTAAGGATGAATGTTAAAATAAAGCCAGAGATAGCTATTATGCATATTCTTATTTAAAACAAAATTAATTTTTTATTGACCAGTTAAAAGTTTTGATCTGACAGAAAACCAGAACGTGCTTTTTACAAAAAAATACATCTATGTACTTTAACAAGTAAACCTACTTCCATTTACCCGCTGTTCCTCAAAATTTAAATGTACAGTATAAATTTTTAATTTTCAATATAGACATTGTATTTTACCAGTCATCTATAATAAATTCAACTACAGAAGCATCTGGACAAAAACACTGAGAAAATAAATAAACAATGACAAAGACGAAATGAAAAATTGCACACCAGTTTATCAAAAAACTTAGGTATAGGAACATTGTTATTTCAGCTACCTGTTCAAAATTAAACATTAAATTTAACCATTATAAGCACAATAGTATTTCTTTATCCCTACTAGCATAATACTAGATCAGGTATTCAAGATACTTTTAGGCTACACAGACTAGCAAAGTACAACTAAGGGAATGCAGCCTAATTTAAACAAGACAGTAAGGTTGCTTAAGCCAAAAATGTAGCTTTTGTAGAAACAGATGTTTCAAATATGTTTAATATTAAAGGGATGTTTTCATGATTGTTTTAAAGGTTTTAATTGAACCATTTTGTTTAGATCACTAGTCAAATGAGAGGATGACACCTTTGTTGGCTGGGAAAAAAAAGATGGTTTGAAGAAGCATACCATCACTATCCCTATATGTACTCAGCACTTGAATTTAAACATTCACCTGTTTTGCAGATATTGCAGCACTGTGCTAATACATGAGAACCAGCAAAAGAGACTAGAAACAAAAGGACTAGCCCTTTTTATGTCCATAAAAAAATGTGCAAAATTTAAAACAGCATAAACAGTGAAAGAAAATTAGATTTAAGTTTTCAGCTTTAATAAACTCATTGGTCATTAACACCAGAAGTAAGGTAATTTGTTTGCTTTTAAAAGTATCTAACTTAAATGCCCTTTTAATTACATAATTCTTCTAAAACTGAGTAGTCCATTGTAATCATACAGCATGCTGCATTATTGGTATTTTCATGGGAAGCTAAATTAGGATTGATTATAGTAATGTCATTTCAAAAAAAGCTAACAAACAGGTTTCTATGGCAGAGTCAGTAATCAATATTGTAACAATTCAATGTTCTGAGGGGTTTTTTTAAGGACATATCTTGTCCCTATTATGTATTTGCCAACATCACAAAACCACTATACAATTTAACATGATTAGCAGTCTTCACTCAAGGGGGTAGTATTAAAATGGTAGTATTTCTGGTCAGCATTGAGATGCATTGGCAGAGCTATGAATAAGCTCACAGCACATACCAAAACTATGCCTACTTGTAGTTAGAACCATAGCAATATGCTTTGAGTGGTATGAGCATCTGCAATTCTTACTGGCTTTGGTGGGAACTGCAGGTATTAGCACATGTCATGATCAGACCCTTGTTGTACCAAAAAAACCCCCAACAATTCATATTGCTACCAGGGACCACAGCCCAAAAATTTCATGTACCAACTATATTTTATCATAAGTAAAGGCAAACTCACAAAACTTGCCTGTTTCATTATTGTTTACAAGCAGAATACTGATATTTACAACCATGCTATTGTGGTTTGTTTTCAGAGGGGGATCAGAGGGTAAGTTTAGTTTTGGGGGAACAAATACATTTAAGGGTCACTGAGAATACAAAAGTTAAAAGCCAAATGAAAAGCTCTGTAAAAACTGTTTAAGATTCCAAAGTAATAGAAAATATTTGCAAGTTTAATTACAAACATTTATTTTTAAAACAAAATTCTTAATAAGTTAGGTACATCCACGGCCTGTCAATGTTGACTGTTCCTTTTAAGGAGAAACTTAAAAGGTACGTGAAAAGTACCCACAGTATTTGTGACATCTGAGTGTACACAGTATATATATTTTACACTGAGTTTGTATCTAAATCACTCAAACATAAAAACAAAACCAGTCTTTACAATTTGGAAACCATACAATATAGTGGAAGATTCAGCAAGTTTCTTAATGTCTTCAGTAAAGGATATTAAGTAGTGGTGATTTCATGCATTTGTTCCACAACTTGTCCTAAAATTTCATCAACTATATCAACATCATAATTTACTTGCTGCAAATCTAGATCAGGCATAATTATAGCCAGTAGCTGTCCAACGTTAACTCGGAGGGATCGCAGTTTCAGGCTGTAAGGAAATAATGATCATATTAAGGAAGATTTTTTTATCTAGAGTGCAGATAAATTGAGATTACAGTCCATAATTTTATATTGAACTTTATGAACAATGTGACTACCTTACTGAAAATAGAAGGTTCTACAAATCTGAGTTTTACAAAGAAACGTATCAGCCAATATAAGACATGATATTTAATTTAAAGTTACCTATGAAGTAACTCAAGGCAAGGAACTAGCTGGACTAGTTTTTCCAAGGTTTGAGCACCACAGTTCCTGAGCTGGAAGATTACATGTTCATTCCATTTTAGACAAACATTAAGAGCAGAACTTGGTTCCATCCTCATTGCCACAAAATAGAGGCTCTTTTGAAGCAAGATGAGAGAGATTGGGTTTGTTTGGGTAGCACAAACCCAAATACTGACCCAGATACCTCACTTCAATCTCAATTTTGCTTTCTCAAAACAATTCCAAAGTATTAAAAATTGGAAGTACATGCAGAAACATGACAGAGCATGGCACATTTGGCCCAAGTGTTAGGCACACACTGAAAGCCAACTCTAGAGACAGACAAAAGGGGAGGGAGGGGAAGAGAGGGAAATACCAGCTGGAAAGAGAAATTTGTCCAAGAACTACCTTACAAATAAAGCTACAATAGGTGTGTAAAGCTATGTTTTAGCTATATTTTTCTGGTTTCAGAGTAACAGTCGTGTTAGTCTGTATTCGCAAAAAGAAAAGGAGTACTTGTGGCACCTTAGAGACTAACCAATTTATTTGAGCATGAGCTTTCGTGTGCTACAGCTCACTTCATCGGATGCATACCGTGGAAACTGCAGCAGACTTTATATACACACAGATCATGAAACAATACCTCCTCCCACCCCACTGTCCTGCTGGTAATAGCTTATCACTTTGGATGAGCTATTACCAGCAGGATAGTGAGTTTGTGTGTGTGGTTTTTGGAGGGGGGTGAGAGAACCTGGATTTGTGCTGGAAATGGCCCACCTTGATTATCATGCACATTGTGAAGAGAGTTGTCACTTTGGATGGACTATTACCAGCAGGAGAGTGAGTTTGTGTGTGTGGGGGTGGAGGGTGAGAAAACCTGGATTTGTGCTGGAAATGGCCCAACTTGACGATCACTTTAGATAAGCACGGTATGCATCCGATGAAGTGAGCTGTAGCTCACGAAAGCTCATGCTCAAATAAATTGGTTAGTCTTTAAGGTGCCACAAGTACTCCTTTTCTTTGTTATATTTTTCTGTTACTCTACAGGTTTTTTTTCTGCTTCAGTCTCTCTCCTACTTTCCTTTCCTCCTCCTGTTTATTTTCTGTGTTCCTTCTCTTATTCTTGCTTTCCTGTGTTCATTTTCTCCCCCCATGCCTCTTTGCTGCTCAAAGTTACTTCCAGCTCAGCCATCCTTTTTATCTCTCTTCCTTCAGTCTGCTTTTCCTTCCAGGTTAGCATCCATTCTGCTGATAAGTCCCAGCACGATTTGTGGGTGGTCACTAGTGCAACAAATTCAAATATCTGCAAATCCTTCCAGGGAGTACAAGTCATTAAAGTCAGATGCCAACAGCAAAGGAAATGCTGGCAGACAGAGGAATGATCACAAGTGATGATGCAGCTACAGCTCAAACCTAACACTAGAGATCTAGCTAGCAGGGACAACTCTGAACAGACTTGTATGGAATGGTAACTCAACCTAGTGCTACAGTTTGCAGTAGCATTTGAGGAAGGGTGTCAGTAATCTATAACAAAGAACATTTAAGGCCTAGTCTACTCTACAGAGTTTGGTCAACATAGAAAAGCTTACGTGGACCTAATTTTTTTAAGCATCTACACTACAGTAAGTCGTCCACTACGCTGACATAATTTCACCTCTGTGCACGAAAGTGCGCGCTTAGGTTGATGTAGTTAAGTAGACGCAGTGTCTGTGTAGACACGTCGTTGCTTAGATCACCTGTTACTTTCTTTGACAGACCGAGCCCCATTGCCCCAGCATGGAGCCAGCCAGTGCCATCAGCCCCAGCTTTGCTGCCCCCACATGGGGCCAGCCGCATCAGCCCTACGTGGGGGCAGCAGGGCTGGGGCTAGCCACTAGCCACCAGCTGGTGCCAGCAGCCCCAGCCCTGCCGCTCCGGGCAGACCACCCAGGGCCAGCAGCCCCAGCCCTGCCACTCCCGCGCGGGGCAGACCACCCAGGGCCAGCAGCCCCAGCCTGGCCAGCCTCCCCAGCCCTACCCTGTCACCTCTGCATGGGGCAGGCCCACCGCCATCAGCACCAGTCCCCCCCGCATGGCGCCAACCCCACCACCCCCATACGGGGCAGGTCAGTGCCATCAGCACCAGCCCCACCACCACCCAGCTGGTTGCCAGCCCTAGGGCAGCAGTGTTCCCACAGTCAGCCCTGCACCAACTGTCAACCTTGCAGTGGTGGGGCTCTGGCTGTCAGCCCCCTGCAATGCCCCCATTTAAGTTGATGCAGCCACTCCTGGTGAGGATGTACACCACTGGCACAAGGAGGGTAGTGTGGACATGAACAGCCTATTTAATTACTGCACTGGCTGTAGGTCAACATAACTTACGTTGACTTAATGTTGTAGTATAGACGTGCTAATATACATTTGGAGTAAAAACGCCTCAGAAAATGTCTTCTGTGCATTGTATAGCGGTAAGCAAGCTAGCTGATAACTCCAATAAAAAGCCATTGTTCTACCTGAATAAAGAGAAAC